CTGATTGTGAAAGGCAGTATTATTTAGGAATATTTAATTGCAATTCTTCATCCTTAAATTGAATTGCAGAAGTTGCTTGGTGGGAACACTAGCACAAACTCAAAACAACGGACAGGCCTTAAAAGCGTCATGCTTTCAGACACCAAGCCCTCAACTGACAGTCGAGTACTATACCACCCCCTCCCTCCAAAACCCTCTCTATATGTGTGTGTGTGTGTGAACATGAGCTGGTGCATATATTCTTGCCTGTTTGTCTATGCTGTTGAGATTTTTTTAATCTGTTTTCATCTATCTTTGTGGCCTTTTTGATGTGAAAAGCTTTTACTTCTTGCAATTCCAGACAAACAAAGTCACATTTACTTTGACGCCTGAGATTGTTCGTGAGGTAAGATATCTCATGATTATTCAATAACAAGGATAATACAAGTTTTTAGCTTATGAATTTTCATTGGTGGTAAAAAAGTATTCTTCATGCTAAATCACATCCTACATTCTTTTAGAATAGAAGCCCTGCGCCCATATTCTTTCACCTATTTTGTAACTTCTTCATTCTACAATTAAATTGTGTCCCAGATTTTTGCAGAGAAACCAGCAGTTCACCAAGCATACTTGACTTTAGTTCCCAAAAAGGTAATGAGAGCATTGGAACTACTTTTTAAATTTTCAAGGGTGTTTTTATGACAAGATCTTGATAATTCTCTCAGTAAATAATTATCCCAAGTTGAGGCACATCTCATAATTTTGCTTTTATGAACTCTTCTGGTGTGTTTCATTTTTTATTCCCTGATTTCCAGATGTCAGAAAGGGATTTCTGGAGCCAATATTGTAGAGCAGAATACCTCCAGCATTCAAAAAATGCTAATGCTGCGGCTGCAGCAGCAGCAGAAGCTGCTGAAGATGAGGAGCTTTCTCTTTTCCTGAAACCTGACAATATTTTGGCCAGCGAAACTCGGCGGAAGGTATCCATTCTTGGTTGGTTAGTTAATATATCTTTTTAAAAAAACTGGGACATTTCTTTGTACATTTTATGTCCTTTTATTCTGAATTAAGATATGTTGATTCAATCGGTACCTTTTGTTCCAGATCAGAGGTGTTGATCCAACTCTAGACATGGAAGCTGATGAAGGGGATGATTATACACATCTTCCAGTAAGTTGTATAACACCAACTTTCATATTAAGACTATATTCCTGGAATATGTTATTTCCTTGTGAAATATTTATAAATGGTAAGCTTGGATCTAAAACTCCACTGGGAAATAACGCCAGAGTTTGTATTTCCTGCTTATGTTATACTAATTTTCTAAAAGAAGTGCTAGATAGGTTTATTGAGAAAATGGAACATCTCAATAAAAAAATATAAAAAAAGGGTTTTCTTCCCTGCTTAACATCCTCATGTATTTGAATTAAATTTAAACCTAGCATTATGTTACTTTCTGGTATGCATCTGTGCTGGAAATCCTAGTTTCTTCTCTAGGTTGATTGTCTGAACCTGTCATTATGTGCTTTTTATATCTATCTCTTTTAATGTTGGTTGCACTTTTAAAATACAGGATCATGGCATTGTCTGTGACGGTAGCAAGGAAATAACCGAATTGCAGCATGAACTATATAGAAGAACTCTGTCGCAGGACCTAAACAGGCATGCCGCTGTTGTTCTTCAAGGAACAACTATAGGTAAGAGTTTTCTAACAAAGTTTGCTTCTAAGTGCTTTAAGTAAGCAATGAATGATTTTGTGTCTGTTTCTTGTTTAATTTGCTGGTGTTTGTACCTTACAAGTTGCGACTAGATACCATATGAAATTAAGATTTGTCATCTTATAGACGAGGAGCAATTGAAAGACACACAGACTGTAGCAGAGGCACTTGAACGATCAAAACAAGGTTAGTATGGTTTGTGTTGACTTCCCTTTACCCCTCTTCTATTTGGTCATGTATGAAAACATCCTTGTGTTTCTGTTGTCAGGACAGAATACGTCAAATGAAGAAACTGATATCAATGCAAACCAGGACAGATTGAGTAGAATTTTAAAAATGATGGAAATTGACGATCTTCAGGCGTCAAGTGATCTTCCTTTGGCACTGCTTTCTATCAAGGTTTGATCAACTTCTTGTCATCAAGAGTCTGCTGTAAATTTTTTTAATTGAGATGTGTGATTTGACATTTCTGAATCCAGGATCCAAGGGATTACTTTGATTCTCAACAAGCTAGTGCTCTTAAAACTTCAAGAGATACCAGTATTGGAAATGATCCAGTAAGACGCACCCTGAGTGTGGAAGAATCATATGCTTCTTTGAGGGACTCCATTTCCCACATAAAAAACACAGGATTGGTTGATCCCATGGTTACACCTGAAGTTGCTGCTAAGGTAATGGATCTTAAACCATCTGCTGTTTCTTTGCTACATGTTATTGGAAAACTTTCATATTGCCATTGATACTGTAATATATCATGTGACTATGATGCAGGTCCTTTCAGTCTTGACCCACAATATCTCAAGCACCAAATATGATGGTGGGAAGAATCCCGGGCTAAGTGTTTTGGACACGTTGCCGAATACAATTAAAGAGGAGCTGATATATGTGAGATTTTGTAATTTATATGGATCTTGTTTCAGAGGAAAAAATGAATGTTTTGTGTTGGATCATGCAGTGACCTATATTGCTGTTAATGCTAATTTACTAGTTTTCATTTTGTCAGTCTTACTGGATTACTGCATGATTTTGATTTACTTTCCTGTTATCTCATGTTCATGTGGAAAATCTTGCCTTCAGCACTGGACGTCTATTCAAGAGTTATTGAGGCATTACTGGTCATCTTATCCAATCACTACTATGTATCTTTATAGTAAGGTAAATGCAGTTTTTCTTTTTTCACTTTGTGCTACCTTAAATAAAATGAGTGAAGTAGTTTCTTTTGATTTCTGGATTCTGGATTTCAATGAGAGTGGCATGATATTTGAACATAAAAAATGCTGCTTTGGTCAGTATCGAGATTGAAAAGGGACGACTTAATGACTATATCAATATTGTCAAATAATGAAACCATGAATAGCTCATTATTGTTCCCTTTTATATTTTGTAGAAGATTTTCTCTTGCCATGAGGTTGGTTGGAAATAGCTTTTCCCAACTGCCAACATGCTAAAGAGATATTGCTTTGAAGAGGAATTCCTTTGGTTGTACCATCATCTGATCTTTCAGTTTTCTCTCTGTTTATTGAATATTTGCAGGTAAGCAGGTTGAAGGATGCAATGTCAAAAATTGATTCTCAGCTACAGGTAATTTTGGCTGTAAGCTCCTTTTGTGCTTTCCCTATTCGCCCATTCTGAGTTTTTCTGTGACAATACAATTCTAGTACCTAACATATCGCTTCCCCTCCCCCCTCCTCCCTTAAGTCTCAAACTGCGTCTTTCTGGCTCTTTGCGTGTAGTGTCAGTGTGATTTGACCCTCACTGCAATGTATAAACACTAAATGCTAATTATCTGTGATTGTTACTAGTTGCTGACCAATTCCATCCTTTACTTGACCAGTTGACTAATTATCTGTGATTGTTACTAGTTGCTGACCAATTCCATCCTTTACTTGACCAGTTGACTAATTATCTGTGATTGTTACTAGTTGCTGACCAATTCCATCCTTTACTTGACCAGTTGACCCTCACTGCAATGTATAAACACTAAATGCTAATTATCTGTGATTGTTACTAGTTGTTGACCAATTCCATCCTTTACTTGACCAGTTGAATATCACTTTTATCTTTTCTTGTTTCTCGTAACAGAAATTTATGGGCATCTTTTTGTAGACCTTTCATGTCTTGTTTAGTATAATGATTCTGTTAACATTTTTGCATCTGATTACAGTTCTCACTTGAATGAAGCACATTGTGAGTGTGCTGGATATTCATTACCTTAAGCTAAAATTTTCTTCATAACATTGAATTTCCATGTTTGTGCTTGGTGTTCTTGGGACATTGGGGCTCTGCATTCTGCTTTTTTTTTTTACATTAAAATGTTCTTGGCCCTTGCGGGATGCATGCAACCTGTATTTGTTACCGACTTACTTCTCCAACTACTATTCCATGGGTTTTGAATGAAACTAACAAAGTGCTTATTCCCTTTTCTTTTAAATCTCAGGAGCTGAATGAATCTGTGCAGTCAGATCTTCGACATCAGGTTACTCTACTAATTCGACCAATGCAACAGGTTAACACTTCTTTCCACCTCTCCATTTAACTCAAGGGTTTGATGTATTAAAATTTTCATAGCAGCTGTCAATTATCTGTTTGAGCTGTTAGTAGACTTATTTTTGACTGAAATGTTAACCATGGTTTTGAGTTTTTTGGAGTGAGATTGGAAATACAAAAGTTAACAAATACCCTAATTTTCAATTATTTTGCCAACTCTGCCAAGATCACAAGTCAATTGCAAAGTATTCCGAATTGTTTTTTGCATTTGCATTTTAGTTTTGGCTGGAATTGATGGAAGACCATTTGTACAGGCTCTAGAGGTAGCTATGCAACACTATGATGCAGACATGCAGAAGAGATCATCGTGAAGTGGAGAGAGATCAAATGGATATACCTAGGGAAATTTTTATCCTTGTGTCGCTTCACAAGCATCATGCAGTGACATTATTTTCCACCTTCAAGTCAATTTTACTACTGAGTTCATATTATTTACATACGAAAGTGATTATAAGAGAGCACTGTTAGAAGTAGAAATATAGGGGTGCCTACATGGTCTATCATCATCCAAATTAGTGTTGCTAACTATGGATACTATCAATGAAGGTCAGATTTTCTAGTATGCAACAAAGTTGGAGCCCCTGTTTTGACCTTGGTGATTTGCTCCTTCAATTATTTGATGTCAAAGCAGTTATGTGCCCACATATCCTGATTAGCAAACAAGGATTTCTGTCCACTGACAATAATGTCAACAGCAAAGGGAGAGGTGATTGTTTTTGCCATCTAGCATAAAAAACGAAGTAAAAGATACCAAAATGCAAAAGGGGCAATTTCGTTCATCTTGAGATGTCCATTTTGAACTAGTTTTGGAGGATAAATGTGTGTCGAAATGAACACAAATTAACACAGCTGTGTGGAAAGTCATGATCTTCAACCCCATTGCAAGATCAGATACGCTGCAAGGCATCTGTTTCAATTTAACAAATCTGAGAACAATGAGACATTGGTCCTTTCAACAATAGCTACAGTCAAATAACAATAAACAAAAGTTATTAGGATCCAAAACTAATGCCAATGAGCCAGTCCCAACAAGCACCTAAAAACAAGAACAAGTTAGGAAGAGAACAGAAACCCTCAAGGAAATGCTACTATAAAGGAGGAGGAGGAGGAGCATAACCCATGAAAGGCCTTCCAATTCCAGCTCCACAAAGTGAACCATTGACACTAGAATCACATTCATGAAAAGCATCCTTCAACTTGTGAAACCCATTCTTGTAAATTCCAAAACCAAACAACAACCCTATCAGGATCGCCACCAATACCACACATGTGCACAACACGCACACCCTCTTCCCACAGCACATCTTTGCTAGCTGTCTTTCAAGAACTTGGCGTGTTTTTGAATCTTGGAGTTGCGTTAAGGGAAACAAACACAGTAAATAAAGTTGAACGTTACCAATATGAGAATTGTTAGCTTGGAAGTAAAGCATATAAAGAGGAGAGATTCTGATGGTTTTGATACATTATTCTGACGTGGATAGTTTTTATTGGATCACGGTCTCCACTTGCAGAATCATCACCATTAGGGCCATGGATGAAATTAGACTGTTTAGCTTGGCGTCCACATTACTGGGAACGTGGTAAATTTCTTGAATGGTCCTCCAAGTTCTTGAAAATCGTCATATATATTAGATTTTTTTCTACACAAATCCTATCAGTATCCCTTAAGTTTTATGTCAAAAAAACAGGTGATTTGTCATCTTTTCAATCTAAAAGCTCTCATTTTTTATTTTATTTTTTTGTTCTCCTTTTTACTATATTTCTAAAAGCTCTCATTGTTTTTTTTTTTTTTTGTTCTCCTTTTTACTATATTTCTGTAGAACCATTTCTTTATAAGATAGTTATCATCTTCCTACAAGTTTTCACCCCTTAAAGTTTCCTCTACAATCTTTTTTTGACATGTTCAACACTGAGTAAAAGATCCATTTCTTCTATAACAAATAAAGCATCTAAAACTTGCAGTCATCTATTTTCATTCAGTCATGTTTTTAATGGATTCTCTCCCTGCATGCGACTGATCTCCCCCCATTCATTCAGCATTGAATTTGGATCCGTCAGTCAATCGATAAAAATTATTATCGAGTTAATATTTGATTTGATTTGATTTAATTAAAAATTAAATTTAAATTAGATTTAAAGAATCGAGTTTTCTAAATTAATCTATTAAATCAAACAAATTTAATAGTTGCAATTAAGCCTCTTATATGAAATATCTTTTTTTTTTGTAAAAAACACTTGGATTTGAGTTAACACTTTATTTAATTACACCGGATTAACCTATTAAATTAAACTAGATTTCACAATTACTCCCATATGAATTATTTTTTCTTAAAAAAAAAACTGTAAACTTGCAAAACATCATTCATGATTGTTTTCAAACGAGAGAATGCCGGCATCATTTGCATCATTGATCATGTGTCTCTTACATCATTAAAGAAGTAAATCCAAATGCAATAGAGGAGGAGGAAGGTTTTCCTTCTCGTGCATGCCATCATGTATTGAATCTGCTGTTTTATTTTCCAAAAAAACTCTTAATGATCAGATCTCTTAGGGCAAAAACCAAAATTAAGCCCTTCTAAAATCTAGTTTTAGACAACTTGTATTTATCTAATTAATCTATTCTCTTTTAAAACAATTTCTTTCCTCCAACGTTCTTTAAGATTTGAAATCAAAATAATAATTTGGGCACCAAACAACATTTTAAATTTAATATCTAATTCCATACCAATATCATTTTAAAAATTTAAATATTTCTATAACATATAATGTTAGCCGCATAATAGTTCATGCGTCATTTAGGAGGTAATGCTATTTGATTATCAAATTTTATTATTCAAGATGGTATTAAAAGGCACACATCATTCTCTTTTCAATTATATAACACGTGATTGTGGTGGTGGTAAGGTTGGATATTGATATGTTTTGTTTTTTTTATATTTTTATATTTAGAAATTCACGTCAGTCAATTCAAAAAATAATTGTGTCCTCTAAATTGTATTTTTATCAATTTTGATTTTCATTCTTTTAATCACTATTTGTTTTGCTTTTAATGCTTTTTAAATTTTAGATTTTTTCAATTTCATCTCTGAAAAATTTATGTAATTTGGTTTTTGTATTCAATTTTATCCTAATTCTTTTGATTTTTTTTTTTGGTGTTTTACCCTTTTCTTGATTTATTATTTTTTCAATTTCATTCCTAGACATTTTATTTTATTTTTTATTTTTTGCTTTTATCCTCTTTCTTTTTATTATTATTTTCCTATCTTTTTTTTTATTTTTTTAATCTAATTTGGGTTCTGATTCTTTTTATTATTATTTTCTTGATTTTTTTCAATTTAATCCCTAATAATTTTCTTTTATTTAGTTTTATATCAGATTTGGTATGCATTATTTAGATTTTAAATTGTTTTGTTATTGGAAATTTTACATTATTATTTTTTCATGTTTGCCTTTCTATATAGTAGTCTTAATCTCACGATCTAAGTTTTATTTGAGCTTCTTTTTTTTTTCTTTCAAATTTATTATTTAACATTTTGGTTATTAGGCTTTAAACTTTGTTACTTGTTCTATTTTTTTTTTGTTGGATTACCCTAAATTCAAATCTCAAGTAACATGTTGGTCGAATTAACTCAAATTGACTTTAGTTTTTTTTTTTTATAGACTTCTTTTATAATTTTTTTTTTGTAATTTTATTCTTTGATATTAGATTATTGATCTTTGAGCTTTGTAATTTTTTTATTTTTTCTTTCTATGAGGTTATATTAAGTGTGAATTTATCAAGTTAATTTGGATTAGCTCGATTTATTTTTAAATATTTTTTTATTGAACTTCAATCTTTTTTGTTATGTTATTCTTTTGAGAGTTTTATTTTTTTTATTCTGATTTTATATTACAAGTGATTAGTTTTTTTTATTTAAATGCATCTTAATCTCATACTTTATATTACATATTAATTAAATTAACTCAAATTATTTTAATATTTATTTTACATTAAAAAAATTATTTTATCAGCCACCTTAGACAATAGATGTTTAAGTTTCATTAAAATTATTAATGATTTATATGGTTGTTAATTTTAAAATTTATAAAATTAATTAAAATATATGTAAGTTGACGGACATCTATATTAATAATATTAAAAAATAATAAATGAAATGGGTCTTATCAAAAAAAAAAAACTTACTTAAATCACTATTTTAGTCTTATAAAAAAAAAACTTACTTAAATCACTATTTTTTAGAGATTATTTGGCAGTTATAGTTATTTTTTAAATAAATTTTAATATTAAAATATATGTTAATAATTTTTTTATTTTTTAAAAATTATTTTTAATATCAACTTATCAAAATAATTTAAAAATACTAAAAATATATTAATTTAAAACACATAAAAAATAAAATAAAATAAATTTTTTTTAATAAACACTTAAAAAAAGCAAGCATCACATTAGTATAAAGTAGAGCTCACAAGTCGTCTTCTATGCGTCTTTCCTTCTGCTAATTTGATGTCTAACTAAAAACACTCTTTACTTAGCGTACTTCTTAACTGAGCTCTCGAATCCCTCCCATTTGTGCTCTCACTTTGGTTCTTTTACATGGTTTTCTCTCATTAATTTCCATGTAAGTACTCTCGTTTTCGATCTTTTATAAAGTTTCTCTCTTTGTATGCTTCTGTTTTTCTTGATTTTAGGGCTTTGTGTTTATTCTTTTTAATGGGTTTTGCTCAAGTTCTAATTTTGAGTTCATAATGTAGAGAAGTTATTGAACACAATGATTAGGGTTCTTTTAGGGTTTGCTGCTTTAAATTGGGGTTTCTCAGTTTGTGTGGTGATATTTCCTTGGAGATTGTTTTTAGTTCACGGGTTTTGATTATTGTAGTCTTTCTTTGGAAAAGCTTGCAACCTTTTCGATTCCTGTAAACTTTAATTCGTTTTTGGATTATGGATTCTTGATTTCATAGGGTTAAAAAGCAATAGTGTATAATGAAAAGAAATGGTTTTAGCTGTTTTAGGGACTTATCTGGGGCTCGCCATTTTTAGTGTTGTGTCGAGGGAAATTTTTGGTTCTAAGTGTAGATTGGGCTTGATAGGAATTTGAGTTTTATACTAAAATGGCTTGTATTACTAATATATAATATTGGCTTTAGGTTCATGGGGTGTTGGTGGGTTGTTTAGGATTCAGATGTTGAGATGCATCAGAAATAAATCTTGAAGACTGCCATAATCTAGTTTTTTGAATTATTTTGCTCCCGAGTTCTTAAATTAGGTTAGATAACTGGATGCTCAAATAGTCAAATTTTAGGGATGCTGAGCTGTGGTTAAATTTTAATAATGATGTAGTAAGACAAGCGATGATACTTTTTTTGCTGCAATGAATTTGGAAGAGTGCTTTATTCATGAATTTATTAGTCACAGACTGAACTGTAATTTGATTCATTTATCTATTTTCAATTTTGCTTTCTGTTCTAGTTTTTGCATAATTGTTTGTTGAATGATATACAGGACTTGATGTTTGCGTAAAATATGCATCTATTTAATATCTGGTGTGTGCTTAGTGTAACTATTATGACATCAATGCCATATCCCGGATAGTTAGGTTAGGTAATAAAATCACAATGATATATCCATTTGCTTGAGTCATTAGGTTCTATCTTTTTTCTAGGCTAACTGCTTACACGCTAGTAGGTCGCTACTAGGGTAATATGCCCATATGTGCTCTAGTTCTATGCCTCTCCATAGAAAACATTTACCCGATTGCTAATATCAGATATAATGTTATTGCAGTGACTCAAGAGGTCAATGCGTGGAGGGATTTCCAAAATGTTCACAAGTAACTGATGTAATTATTTTTGTAATGGATTGCAATCCTTCCACAACTGGAACATTGAATCATGGCAAAAATTAATGGATCTTGGTCAATTTGTTGGACTGGAGACCATTGAAAAGGGTTTGAGGTAGCATTGTGAAACCTCCATCATAGTTCAGGAGTTGTCAAAGAATCCATCCACAAAAGTAAATTTATTGATTTTATGAGGTCTAATGTCCATCGATACCATTTTGCGTGGAAGCAATGGGAGAATTAAAGTTGGACTTCATGTACAAGCTACTGTACTATATTGATAGTTATGAGCGATCAAATCATTGATCATCAGCAAATTCTACCACTTTTTGGTGGAAAATGTTGCGAGTGCAACACTGATGCCATATTTTTGAATATTTTGGAAAGATGTAAAGAACTTGCTATTCGCAGGACATAAACTCTTTTATATATATATATATGACTTTTATATATAGAAATATAACTGGTTGTTTGTTGGTAATTTGCCATATGGCTGACAAAAAGGAAAAATGGCACATGGGAATATGTTCCTATTTTATATTAATCTGACATGATGTTCAGTCCCTTTGATGTTGCTTTATTGGATTATTTTGAAATAAACGAAATCGATGAAACAGATTTCTGATGACTTGTGTTCTCATGGGCCTGAAGCACTATTGCAAGGCGGATTAAAATTGTGTGATTATAGGTGCTATAAAGATTTTGAGATTTAAGCAGATCTTCGAAAAAATGACATATAGATAGGGTAATGTTTTGATATTTGTGGCATCTGAAACACCATTCCTATGAGATTGTTGAATGGTTAAGGTGGGGTGAACTATGCTGGTAATAATATTCCTTAACTAACCTTTCGTACTTGAGAATATTTTGTGGAATCTTGTTAGAAAAATCCTTTAGGAAAATTAGAGGCCAGCTAAGGAATTAGGAGTTAGAGAAGCTGGGCCTGAAACTGTATAAGAGTTGTATATGAAGGTTGGGACTCAAAAGCGAGTATGATATCTATTCAAATTAGTTTATTGAATAGGATAGGAAAGGTCAAACTCCGAATTAAGGTAAGTGTATATACATAGCATTTCATTAAGAGATTAGAGAATAAAGGATGGTAGCCACTTGGAGAATCTTGGAGAACTTATCACATTGAAGGTATTAAGAAATATCAATTCAATTCCGCGTGTAGGATTAAATCTCTATGTTGAAGGAAGTCATGAAGAAGATACAAAAAGCATGTAGAATTGCAAGAATCTCTATGGAAGTTTGGAAGTTCTAGGTTTGGTCAAGTAAAAGTGGCTATAAGATTGATGATGGAAAAGATGCTTGGTTAATGAAGGTGTACTTTGGTTTTAAATCTAAGAGCAAGGATGATATCGCAGTTGCATGAACTATCAAGGTTCTCAATTAATGAGTTGCTACATGATAGCCTATGGGAAAAGAGTGATTGCGCAAGATAAAGTTACGACATCATGATTTCTGAAATTAACTAGTTTTATGCTAGGGAGCCTATGAAAAGGGGTTAATATAGAAAGGCACTAGAATAGTCTATCTTACTAAGGGAAAGTGCTAGCACGAACTAAGGGAAGTTTTACAGCGAGTGTGGCAGAAAGAGATGTAGCTTCTATCAGTGAGGACTGTTAGGTTGACATGGGCGAATTTCCTTGTACAAAATGGTTGTTCCAAGAACCTATATGGAGCCTTTGTCCTTTTTTTTCTGTAATGAATGAATTATGAAAACACATTTGGCCCCTTGTTACTCCTGTTAAAAGTGGGATGATCTAAAGTTTAGTTGTTGTGGAAGAGTTTAAGAGAGTGTTACATCGGATGTATTGACAGTGGCTTAGGTCAGTTGTTTATGTTGCCTAGCTAAGGGGTCCATCCTGTGGTTGGTCCTCATCAGTTGAAGGATAAATTACATAAAATCTCGATTAGGCTAGCTTTGCTCTGTGATGGTGAGTGTTGGACAATGAACAAGAAAAAATGAAAATGTAAAGAAAAAATTCATGAAAGCAATAGAGGACCAAGTAAGACGTGAACGAATTTGTGGGAGGGCAGACGGGTGAAGTTATTGAGGGTGGTAGTCAATGTTATTTCCCATGTCACTTTCTAAACTGCATCGTGATAACTAGAAAATCTCAAGTTGCCATATAGTGGCCTCTCTCTGGTTTTTTTTTTTTTTTTTTAAATTTTCCTATATTAGTGATAGAATGATAGTCCTTGCATACAGTTGAAGCTCACCTGTTTGTAGCCATCTTGGGTTTGCAATAAGCAAGAAATGACACAAATGTGCGTTCTATTAGTAGTACAGTATAGGAAATTGCCTTATTGTGGTGAAAAATGGGTTTTGTTCCGAACATATCATGTAGATGATTTTGGACCCAATCAAAATCTTGTGGGATGTAATTTGGACTGCATGTTCTCTCCTGGATAGGATATGGCATGGTTGCGTGGAGTCAGTTTCATGTTTAACTGTGCAAGGCTGAGCACCCATTTCAGGCTTGCATGCCAAGGCCCAAACAAACTCAACCCTCCCAAAAAAAGGAGTGCATGTGCTGCTCGATCCTGTACTTTTATTTTAGCAAGCTAGTTACCTTGTTTTTGCAAATTGTTAAAGGATTCTCGTTGTGGTTTGTTAGAAATGGATGGATAGACTGTTCTAACTTTTTGGATCTGCATTTAGTAGTGGAAATTGCATAGAATGTTGCTTGTAGTGGCATTAATTATAGGAACTTCTTTTGTTGTTTATTTGTTTGTGTAATGGGTGGGTTTTTTATTGTATTATTGTCAGCCACTCCTTCCATTGCTCAGTTTATAATTCTCTTTACAATTTGTTTTGTGTTTGGGGTCAAAAGGAAATACACTTGCTCTTTCATTGAAACTACTGGACATGTGATATGGGAGTAATGATTTTTGAACCTGCACCTACAATGAATATCTTTTCAACTTTCACTTTCTTTGTATTTGTTGTCTTTTATTTTTGAGGGGCACTTAGTTCAGGTCCAGTTAATTCGAAAAAAAAAAAAAATCCAGTGGTGTTTTCATCTGAGCTTGATATTCAATTAAACTAGCAAACTATCCAATAGAAATGTTAATCTCGATTGAGTTAGTGAAAAAGGGAAGGGTATACTTTGATTGAATGTCTTAGGAATGAATTAGTGAATTGTGTTTGGGATCCACTATGTATTTAGGAAATTTGTATTTTGTAAAACTACTAATATGATTTCAGAAATCAGATATAAGATATGGAAGACTTTTCTTTCATTTTTGTTTATACTTTTATGCTCTTTTAGTTTGCTGGATCAATCAAATATAAATTAAGGAGTTGTGTTCTATCCCTCTCCTTGTGTTACTAACAGATGAGCTTCCTTTCTGCTTTTGGTCAAGTTAATGCGTCATTTGTTTATTTTTACTAGCTGGAAGAGAAGTCAATTTTTTCATTCTCCTCTAACTTCGTGTACTTAAAAAGAAGGGTAGGGCTGGGGTTTAAGCTGTGTTCTTTTTATGACTGTCTATTCTATTTACTTTTTGATTGCATGGAGCCATTGGTTTATTTTAGCTACATCTGATTTATATAAAAGATGAAAGCTGTTTGAAATTGAGATTTTCTTTTGTCTGTTCATTTTCTAGGTTAATATAGCTTTATTTTATTAGTTGATGTTAGGTACATCTAAAACTTGAAATATGAATCTCGCTTGTAATAGGATATTTTCATGCAACTTGAGGAAAATGAGAAACCAAATAAATAAGGATTAATTCAATGTCATCATGATATATGGATCTTTGGCTTTTCCCTGTCGCCAGGTGCTCCAGTTGAATGAAAGAAGGTGGTACTGCTTCTGTCAAAATGAGTGGGAGCGGCCGAAAACGTAGTTCAAAATGGGATTTGAAAGAAGGGTCTCGAATCTCATTGGAAGATGTGGAAGACAATGCTTTGCCTGGGAAAGCAGGAATACCTTTTCGCGACAAAGAATCACAATGTGACTGGCTCCCACCTGAAGCTGCTGGCAGCACTTGCTCTAAGTGGTCAGCTATGGAACCTTTGCCTGGAAGAAGAGGTTCCCACAAGGATGATAATATCGACGGAGACCATAGTAGAACTTTGAAATCCACCTATGAAGATGAGAGTTATGGAACTAGAATGTCTCCTGGTCTTGATGAATGGAGACAGCAAAGTTTTCGAAACTCTCCCAAGAATGAATATAAAAGATTAAGAAGGTTTGGTTATTTGCTCAGCATGCTTACTGATACAGCTATTAGCATTCTTGTCAATGTCCTGTTTTTTAGTCAACTATTGCTAAATCTATCTGGCACCTGTACGCAATGAAATCTACATGTAATGGAATAGGAATGGTAGTCTTCAAGTATCTTCTATATCGCTAAAGAGTCATGAATCACACACTTTTGGTTCTGTAGAGATTTTCGTTGGACATGCAATGCTATCCTAACCACTAGAAATTTTAGATTTATTCAAGTTTCAGCAACTTTGTTTGTTAGTTTATGGTTTTGGGTGTTTGTGTTTCATGCTTTTAATGAACCAGGTAGTGCTCTTCACACTATGTAATAAGTTCATTGCCTGTTATAAACTGCTCAACCTCAATTTGACTCTGCATGCAAAATTTCTAAAGGTCGTCTTCTTTTTTCTTTCGAAGTTGATTCAGTTGGTTGGCATTGGTTGACTTGTCCTGTCTCTGGTTTTTCTGCAAAAGGAGGAGCCCGAGTCGAAGTCGGAGCCGGAGCAGGAGCCCTGTCCATGGCTTCAGGGGAGAATCAGGAGCATATGACAGAACTAGAAGTAGATCTGGTGTATCAGCTCAATTATGTAAGGATTTTGTTGCTGGGAGATGCAGGAGAGGTAATCATTGCCAGTTTCTTCACCAAGATACTGAGACTTATGAGGATGATTGGGAAAGACCAAGGAAAACTGCAGCTTCTAAATATCCTATGTCTCATGATACTAAGCAGTACCCAATGGGGAGTGGAAGATCTGCCAATTGCTGCACTAATTTTCTAAAGGGAAACTGTAGAAGGGGTGAATCCTGCAGGTATGCTCATCATGGTGATTCTAATCCATCCAGTAGGGGGTCTGCAAATGAGGTGATTAGAGAAAGAGATAATGACCGAAGGCATAGATATGCATCTCCAGAGAGACGTGCTGAGCGTGAAACCCGCAGAGCAGCTGATATTCCCTGCAAATTTTTTGCTGCTGGCAATTGCCAGAATGGAAAATATTGCAGGTTTTCTCATCATGATCAGACACTTGCAAGTCCTGGCAAAAGATCACGAGATGTTAGGTGGCCACCAAGCCAAAACTCAGATGAATTGGAAAAATCATGGAATGATCCAAAATGGAGTGACAGTCATACCTCAGACTCTGCAAAGTTGAGCGAGGATAAAAATGAAAAATTGGATGCACCTAATCTGAGGCTCTCTGCACGGCATATGGAGGATGGATGGGGCCATAATCCTGTTGAGGACAAAACACACAGTAATCCTCCAACTAATGAAGTGGTTGAGATTGACAAAAAGGAAGCCTTCCAATGGAAGACTGAAAATTCTGGTGATAACACTAATGTTTCTGAGAATTGGCTTGGTGATATGGAAATGTCTCCGGATTGGAACTACAGACTGCAACCTTCCAACCATATCAACAAAGGATCCAGTCATGAACTTCAAGAGAGTTCAGGTCGGATGCATGATACCGCTGCAGTCATGCTACCAATTTCAAAAGAAACATCTTCCATTCAACAGGGTTTTAATTTAAAGGAGGTTGGGGGTAGTGCTTTGCCACATGATGATGATGGTGTGACAAAAACTGCTAGTTCCTACGTAGACATTTCTGCCAATGTCCTTGCATCACAAAGCTTCAACAAAAATGGCCAGAGTTCAAATACTTCACATATTCTGAATTTGAATGCTGTTGGACAAATTCAAGAAGCAATCTTGACCAATCCTTCAAGAGGAGGGACAACAACAAATCCTCAAAACCAAACACTGTTTCAGGAGAGGACAGTGATCAACATTCCAGATACTGGGAATCCAAATGTTCCACATGCGAATTTGGGGATTCCAACAGCACAAAACATGGCCAGTAATGAACATTTGACTCAGCTTACCAGCCTTTCTGCCTCCTTGGTTCAGTTATTTGTGAATGGACACCAGCTTCCACAACTTTATGAAGCTCATAATTCGCATGATGGTACCTTTGCCAACTCAGAGGGCACTGTCACTGTGAAACCAGATTCTGCAGTGACCATTCAGCCAAATCAAGCTGTTGAACCCCGGAAGCAGTATGATCCTATTTGCGACAGTGTTGAGCCTGGGAAGCTTAATGTCAATACTAGTCCTACAGATAAGAAACTAGAATTGTTATCCAAAAGCTTGTCCCCTTCATCTCTTGCTGCTGCACCCAATGGTGATGACTTTAACAAGTTCTTCTTGGAGCAAGAGTCTAATGAAAAGAGTTCCCTGTTAAATCAGCCAGCTCCAGCTGCGAGTTCTGAAGCTACCAAGGAAAACAATGGGGTGGGGTCTGGTGAAGACAATACAGTGCAAGAGCAGGATAAGACCGCACAAGAAAATGGTCCCTTAGAGAACAGTGATGGTGATGGCAAAGCTGATGAGAGCAAGAAAAACAAGGATGCCAAGGGAAATCGTGCATTTAAGTTTGCACTGGTGGAGTTTGTTAAGGATCTTCTGAAACCTGCATGGAAGGAAGGTCAAATCAGCAAAGATGCTTACAAGAACATAGTTAAGAAAGTGGTTGACAAAGTTACTAGTACCATGCACAGTGCTAGTATTCCAACAACGCAGGAAAAAATTGAACTATATCTGTCAGTTTCAAAGCCAAAGCTGACGAAACTTGTACAGGTGAGCGTTGATGTGCTTGTTCCTGTTGTATTTGATTTTGAAAGGAACATGAATTTGATTACAAACGCAGCCTTTTCCTTGCCTTTATTCTCCCAGCGCTTCTCATTCTCATCCCTTTATGGGGTACAAATTTATGTGGGGGCACCGATGTTTCATTTTATGATTTCTTTTACACATTGTTTTTGCGATTTTGTTATCGTATTTATTTATTTATCAATCTTGTTGCAGGCATATGTGGAGAAATTTCAGAAGGACAAATGAAAGAACTCCCGGTGTTTTCTATTAATCTATTTTCCTGTGTCATATAGAAAGCTAGTTAAATTTTATGTTTCATATGATTTATTATGGTAATGTAGCTTCTAGAATGAGCTCTTCTTTTCAACCTGTGTTTTGTTTTAGTTGTTGAAATCAAGGTTGGGTAAAACTTTAACTCTTACATGTAGAATATCTTTTTGCTTGGAAGTTTAGAATGCCTCCTAATCATGAAGGTTAACCATATAGATTAATTTTCAGATTCTATAATGCCACCTAATAGGGGCATGTTATTGTTAACGTGCAGTAAAGTTAGTTGAATAGAGTTAGCTTAAAGTTAACTAGAGTTGAACGTGTGTTAAGAGTATTATTTTGTCTAAGTGGTAGGGTACATGGGGCTGAAATTATTGAGGAGAATAACAGTAGGTACAGCCGAAAGTTGGGCTGAAAACAGGCAGAAACAGGTGCTGTAACGGAGAAGAAGAAACAGCAGCAGAGAGTGGTTTCCTCCATTGTAATCCCTTTCTTGTGGGAGTTTTGTACCAGAAAATTACAGCAATTATATGCTATGTTTAAGTCTGTTTTGAGAGTATTTTGTTAGAGTTACTAGCTGGAGAAACCACCCGCACTACAGCCCAACAGGGCATTTTATGCCGATATGTGAACATCGGTAGCACCACTGGACAATTACCTGACAGGATGTGCATGAGCTTGTTTGTTCTTAGCAAATTCTCCTCACACTCATCATCCGCACTGCAGAGTCTTGATACTTCACCTTGTCCAGTTTGAGTCTCGCAGCGTTGTCATCGACTTCTTGCTGCTATTTATTTGTTCGCCATCCCCCTTCCACCCGCATCCCCTTTTTATCTTTGTTTCGGTTAGGGTTTCATGCCTATAAAAAGTAGTTTTGGAAGAGCATGCCCCACAAACTAAACACCGATTTCTATTGAAAAGTTACCTGTCAAAGGCAAACATCTCAGCATGAAAAAGGCTCCGAAACGAAAAATTATTTGCTTTTGGCGTTTTGGGACTTCTCTCCCAAAACCTAGATGTTACTGTTTTGGAAAATTGCATTTGATAAAATATCTGTTTTCTTCCCTGTTCAGGAACCAAATATCACCTTGTCAAGTGAGTTATTATCATGTATTTCTTGATATAAATAGTTTTAATTCATCAAAGATTTCCCCGTGTTTCTTGACATATCTTTATTTAGTTTTTAATTAACATGGATTAATAATAGAGATAATTACTTTTGATGGATATAATCTGATTCAAATGGATGTATTTTTAATTTGGATAATTACTTTGAACTCAATACGAAACTTATCTAAATCTTATTCAAAATATAAATATTAGTATTGCTTATATATACATTACTCTTATTAGATGATCTATACCAATGCATATAGGAACCTTGATGGATACAGATAACATATCTTAAGTTTTTTCCCCGGTTATGGTTATAGCCTGACCAGTGGATCCCTGGCTCCTAGCTTCCCAGGGGCTTTTCTAATGTTTCCTTATCAGAGGCAATCTAGGTTTTTTTTCTCTTGCCTTTACATGTTACAATCCCAATATTCCTGTGGGTCTTGTCCTTTGTACTTTTAGTAAAGGTTTTATCTCTTATTTGTACGCGAGGAATATGGCACCGAACCGAGAAGGTGATGTGGAAGGGGCAACAACGCAGGAGAATGCGAGGAGTGAGGGGGAGGAATATGCAGGAGATTATTCTAATCGACGATGAATTGGATACAGTGCCTTCTATGTTGGGTGTGGACACAACATGGCTGGGGACAGCCATGTTAGACATGGCTAAAGTTAATGGTGGTTGCATGGTGGGTGCCTAACCAAAGAAATTGTTGCCCATCATTATTGACTAAAGAAGAAGCTTGTCTCCCACATCAGCTATAAATAGAGAGTGACATTGATAGCTGATGAACACCATGAAATAGAAAGAAACACAGAGAGAGAGCTAAGGGTGAGAGTTGAGTTGAGTAGAGAAATTTTCTCCTCCTTCTTGTTTTGTTGTTTGTATTGCTTTTGAGCTTGATTAATACAAACCAGTAGCTCCGTGGAGTAGGCAAGTTGTCGAACCACGTAAATTTGTGTGTGTTTGAATGTTTGGATCTCCTAACAACTGGTATCAGAGCTTGTTCTTGAAAGTTCTTGAAAAAGAGGGTGTTTGATCCAAACTCAAAAATCAAAGTTCTCAAAACGTGTTTTTGAACATACCACCGTGAAGAGGACGACTAGAGGAATCCACTGGTGAAAACCCGGCGAAAATCCGACGTCCTGCATGCCCGCACGCGCCACCACCAGTACTGTCCACGCGCACAGACGCGCCCAACGCGCCTCACGCGTCTTCCTCGCCGTTTCCTGCAACTCGACACCGTCACGCCATCAGCCACGTCAGCGGTTCGACACAGTCAGCAGCTAAGTAACCTGCCACATCAGCAGTCTGACTGGTCACCCAGCCACGTCACCAGAAAATCTCCGTGGATCTGCCATGTAAGCTTGGGTAGACCCCACATTGCCTACGTGTCTGACACGTCAGCTAGTCACGTCAGCATACACTGGGTTTTGACCTGGTGTGGTGCAGCGACTATTCCTCCTGCCACGTGGCTTCATCTGCAGCGTCCCGTGATCCTAAAGTTTGATTGTTTAAATCTGAGCCATCCGAAGTCCGATTTGGGTGATCTCAGTGTCGTTTCCAGCATTTTTGGCCATTCCGGACACATTTGTAAGGTCAGATTTTTGAGATTCAAATCCGAGAAAGAGTAAAAATGGCTGATGAAATAAAGGCT